CTTTTTTATCTGCTGCCCCTGCCTCACCCTTGTGACTAGTTTGCTACACACACACACACACACACACACACACACACACACAGGGAAAATAAGAATAAAAAAGTACAATTTATGTCATCTACATACTCAGTGGAGCATGGTCAAACTCTTAGTGGTCTTCCTTTTAAATAGAACTGAGTCCTTCCCTTCTCACAACCCTGCCATCAACTGTGGAGAGTCACATTCGAGGATCCCCATAACAGTTCTTAAGGGTTCTCTTCAGTGACTTCCTGTTTAGGCTGTTAGTTTCTTTAGAGACAGAAGAGATAGGAGATTTGGGGGTTGTAACAGAAACCTTCCATGTCCCTCACTCTTAACTGTGAGTCTGTAGACATCTGTATTACAGAAGCAGTAGACGTCTTCTTCAGTCAGCAGATCACAGATCACAGTTCTCCAGTTTCTTTTCTTTTTTTTTCTTTTTTTTTTTTTGGTGATTTACTTATTTTTAATTTATTTATTTTTAAATCAAATTGTAATTTTTACTTATTCACACAGTGGTTATGAACACAAAAAGGCAGGGCATGGGGAAGGGGATGACACTGGAGAGTGGGTGTTTAGGGGGAGTACAGATATCTTTCAGAACAGGATATCATCTGGGTGAAGGTTCAGGGGACAGGTTACTATGACTCTGCTTATGATTCTCTTGTCCTTATCTAAGTTGGTAATATCTGCCAAGGCTACCTATTTACAAGGTCTATGACTACTGAGGCTGATAAATTTCCACAAAAGCTGCCTGTTTATAGTAGCTTCTAAAGACAACACAGACTACAAACAAAGCTTCTAACTGGAAGTAGGGCCATGGTCCCCAGACAAGGCCCTCAGAGGCAGTCAGGTCCATGGATATCAACATGATCTCATGTGGCAGCACAGTTCCACTCAGGTCAGTATGCAGTGTTAGCAGAGTCCGTGGAGGCCGACATGGTTTCAGTGGTAATTCAGACCAAAGATGTCCACATGGACTTTGGTAGTAACACAGGGACCTCAACACAGACTCTGGCTGCAGTGGGACTACGGGCCCAGACACAACCCTCAGCAGCAGCACAGCCTACCAACATCAACAGGCAGACCTCAGACCACAGACATCTGAAAAGCCCTCCTTGGCAATGTGGTACATAAATATCAATGCAGCCCTCAGACTGGGACAGGCAGAGCCTAGTGGCAGCCACTTCTGCTGTGCCCATTCAGCAAGAGGCTTATATACAGTTTTTGCAATCAGTATTGTGCTTAACTTTACCTCTTCAACTGGAAAACCACCACCACCACTTCAACAACAATAGCAATAACAACAACAGCAACAACAATGACAACAACAACAACAACATAGATTTAGGCATTATTTTGAGGCCTCTCTGTATGTAAAATATTTTAGCATTAATAAAAGAAAAAATCTTCAGTGTACTTATATCTGAAATATTTCTTCAACCAATTTTGTTGTTGTTGTTGTTCCTATCATCTTTACCTGGTTGTTAGAGAAACTTAAAATATATAACAAGGGTAATAAACATGACTCTTCAGGGTTTGTGTGTGTGTATGTGTGTGTGTGTGTGTGTATGTGTGTGTGATCTGTGTGTGCAGCCACACACTTCAAACTTTGGAAATGATTCCTGCTTCAGGGATCTTTCACTTACGTGATGATCTGGCGCCACCCAGCAGACCAAATGAGCACTGACTGCTTTGTGTTCATGTGTGAGAGGAGTTGTTGAAGGTGGGGGAAAGAAATGGGATGACTTTGGCAGAGCTAGAATTCAAGTAGCTGCTCTTTATCTCATCCCAGGATCTGTAGGCAAGCAGGCCATTCAGACATACTAAGAGAAAGATGCTGTTTTAAAAATTAACTTGCTATTTTTTCAACTGCCAATTTCTACAAATGAAAGTTTCTAGGTTGTAAGGTTTCCACTTCTTTTCTCACAGAGGTGTCAATTACTGAGCTTTTGCCTGGTGCCTCTTCCTCTCCTGAATTTCAAACACATTACAGAGAAATGAGAATATTTACCAGTTACCATGAGATATGACCTATGAAATTTTCTCCTGGATTTATCCATGGTAGTTAAGCCAAGATTGTTCTAATAGGGGACTTTTTATTTACATGCCTGATTTAGATTTCTCAACCACTTTCATCAGTTTATACAACTTCCAATGTCATGAGTTCCTTGGAACTAATTGTAAGCTTTGATGAAAGGGAGACCAAACCTGCTCACTGATTGCTATGAAAACCTGGAGTAGATTATGTTCATCATTTCATTTAGAGCATGCACACAGACAGGGCTGCTCAAAAAATATGTGGCTAAAAGCTAAGTATCTCTTAGATGTTAGATACATTGTATTAAAATAATTCAGAAGAAGCGGTAATAACCCTCTGGGAAGAACATGAATACATTGGTTGCTTAAGTACCTGCTGCATTCTTCTCACAACTTAAGTGTCAGGCTTTTAGATAGTGAGTGACACCACTGTACTGGGAAAACCTTATGTAATGACGGATGTCAGGTCAAGAGCATCAATTTAGTTTAAAGTAAAGCAATCTGTAAGAATACACTGATTTTTCTTCCACAGTATCTCTTTTTTTTTTCAGTTTTCAAATTAACAGTAAGATTCTCATCCTAATTCTTGAATTTGGGAGCAAATTTTATTCACTAGAAGCCTTATTGCATCTGGTGAGCATCTCTGTATTCCTTAGCTTGCTTGGAAGTAATGCTGTTTTTTAAAATTCCTATTTCTCATTGGTTGGTATAATGCGCTTTTCTGAATACCATGCCATTTCCGCACATATCATTTTTGGTCTCTGTTGCAGTATTGTCTTCTACAGTCTTCTGTGATGTTAGAGTCACATCTATTTCTCTCTCTATATAGTTTTTCTTTATTATATGATAGATCTCTTCAAACATTACTGTGATTTCAACCATCATAACCATACATAGCATGTCCTGTTTCTGGACTCTTACACTACAAATTCTATTGTTCGCTTGAGATTCCCAACAATTCCTTTCAGATATTGCAAAGGTGCCTGAAAGTGGATTCAATGGCATTTCTTCAACCACATGACTTTCTGCCTTCAGATTACTTGATGAAAGGTGTTTATCAGGTTTCCTATCAAAAGTTATTTAAGATTTTTAGACCTGACCTATTGCTACCATCACCTAATTCAATTAAGTATGTCATGAAGCAAAACCATATATAAATAGTATATTTCATCGTGTCTTAACATAAACTACACACACAACTATTATCAAAAGTTAAAAATCAACAAGACTTCAGCATGTAGCAGAGAGTATGCATGATTCTATCTGTAGATAAGATAAGTAAACACAATTGGTAAACAATAACACACTCATTCAGCTGCTACCAATATGGTCATCTTGTAACCAATCACTCAAGGTGCTATTGAAGATTCTTTTCTGCAGTGAAATTATATTTACTGACTAGATTATAGAGCTCTTCAGAAAATCTTATTCTTTTTTATGTGTGTTGTAGGTCGACACTTCAAGACAAAATATATTTGCATTTCACTAGTCATCATCTGCTTTTCATGAGATAAAGTGTCGAAAAGAAAAAAAAAATCCCACTAAGAAATCCTGACACATCTCCACATTTCTGAACCATATGTAAAGCAAGATTTTTGAGAGCCTGCAATCAATTTCCCATTGTAGAGACTCATTATCATCTTTCTTGACTGAACAGTCCTATGACTAAACAAGAATTAGAGCTCATTCATATTTTTCTCCACATAGCAAGACAAAAAGGACCAATAAAAGTGGGAATACTACAGACGATGCATTTTCCTCTTGACTATCAGGAGACTATCAGGATTGATGTGCTCCACTGTTGTCTCCATCCTCTCTACTTGATTTTACTTGTGTGCAATCTGTGATATTCTGAGTGTAGTAGGCTAATTTTGATAAAGAAGCCCATTTAGACTATCTATCTCTGCTCTATATATTTGCCAGGGAGCTTGTTTAGCATTTCAGAAATCACCTAAAATTTACCCCTTCTCAAAGGCTGCTGACTCAGCAGGACATTTTTCCTTTTGAAAGGCAATGCTGTTTCAAAGGAAAATTCTAAGGATGATTTGTTTTTTCTTAGTCTTATAACTTCTGTCATCGTCTGCATTTCTCTTACCATAAAAGGCTCCCTCCTGACTTTTTCTTTTATTTATTGGCTACTGTGCAAACAATGTTTTGGGGAGGAGATGGAGAAATTTTGAACCCTATGCCTTCTGCTGGTCAACACAAGTCTATTTTGACAAGTTACATTTGGGAGTGAAATATTGTTATATAATACTAGACAATGTTTCAAGAAAGCTAAAGTAAAGAAATACATACATGACAATTTTTTCACAAAGTAGGAAAGTAACTGTGTTTAGGTTTGTATGTACTAAGAAATTTCAGGACTATTTTTATGTTTAGAACAACATCGTGGGATATCAACACATAGTTCAGTAGCTGTTTGGGTAACATTAGTTCCAGGTGCTGCTTCCTTATTAAAATTTAGGTGTTCATTTGGTGACTATTGACAAATCCAAAGGAAACCTGGTAAGAAAACTAACATGCCACAGAAAGGAATTCTTAATCAACATATCATGAATCATGAAATTGTTTATGTTTATAAATGAAACATGAGGAGTTTATTTAGAAAGGAAAAGAAAGTGCAAACAATGCTGTGCTTGCCATGTGAGCAAGAGCCTTTGCCTTTCTTACAGATCATCAGTCTCCAATATTAACAAGATAAAGCATTGTGGTGATAATTTCTTTAAGTACTGGAAACGGGGAGAGGACAAGTAAGCTTCTCTCTCACACTTTTGAAAATAGAAACACAAATATTCTCTGCTTTTTCATAGTATTTAAATAAAATGTCAGGGAAGTAATTTAATTTTGTTGTATTTCAAAATTCAATATCTCTTGTCCTTTGGAATAAAAGAGCAAGAGACTTGTTAATGTAATCTTTATAATTAAAATATCTGATGTGGGTGGGGGAGCTGAGCACTGAGACCAAGGGCTAAAGCTGGGAGATTGAAAAATGCAGACCACCAAGGCACTGCTCATTTCTCCAGTTCTGATCTGCTCCCGTACCAGGGGTCTAATCAGGCCTGTGTCTGCCTCCCTCCTGAGTAGACCAGAGGCCCCATCTAAACAGCCTTCCTGCAGCAGCTCTCCTCTCCAGGTGGCCAGACGGGAATTCCAGACCAGTATTATTTCCCGGGACATCGACATGGCAGCCAAGTTCATTGGTGCTGGGGCCACCACAGTTGGTGTGGCTGGATCAGGGGCTGGCATTGGCACAGTGTTTGGTAGCTTGACTATTGGATATGCCAGGAACCCATCTCTCAAGCAGCAGCTCTTCTCCTATGCCATTCTGGGCTTTGCCCTGTCTGAGGCCATGGGACTCTTCTGTTTGATGGTCACCTTCCTCATCCTCTTTGCCATGTGAGGCTCCATGGGGTCACCCAGCCATCCCTGCTGCTTTGACTCCATGCCAGTCCTGGTGCTGGAGTGTGCTGAGCTTTACCATTAAACAACGACATTTCTAAATAAATAAATAAATAAATAAATAAATAAAATATATATTGGGGGTTTATGGGGAAGATGGCTCAGTGGGTAAGCACTTGCTACACATGATTATCTATAATTCCAGCCCCAAAGGATCTGACACATTATTATGGCTTCTATGGACACCTCCACACACACAATACTATACATACATACATACATACATACATACATGCATATATAAAATAAAAATTCAGTTACCCTATAATGAGCCAAATATAATGGACTCCTACTTGACATAACTGGTTAACAAATAAAAAGCCCGGTGGCATAAATGATTACCTCTTTTGGAGTTGTTGGCCAGTGACTTCCTAGACTTTCAAATAGTTGCCACTCTTGTTTATCCCCACAAAAGTTGATTCTAAGACTCCATTGCTGAAAACATCATATACTTGATATATAGAACATGGAGAAGTCAAGCTGGTACTGATATGGAGGCTTCATCCCTACTAATAACTTCACAATGCTAGATGGTGCAATGAACAATTCTTGAGGAGAGAAGCAATCATTAGGCTTACATATATATATATATATATATATATATATATATATCCTACAAGCGATAATGATTACTCATTGAGTAAATCATGCCCTTGGGTGCAAGAGTGACCTCATCACCATGGTAACAAGCAGCCACACTCTGATTTGATTAGAGTCCTGATTGGATTTGAAAAAAAACATACCTGGTAAAGTTATCAGGACAAGAACCTACAGTTTGACAGGTCATAGGCTCTGAGGCTGGGAGGGGGCAAGAATCTACTATTACTTTGCTAAATGATCATAGTATCATTATGTCTATACATTCATGCATCTCTTGACCTGAATCAGAGAAGTTTCTATTTGCAGTAGATACTGATTAACACAGAGACACATACTTTCTCAAAGTATAGACAATAAGAGACTTTATATGGCTCAAGTCTAAATGGGGCATATATATTATACTACCCTTTCCCAAGGGTCAGGGATCATTGTGAGAAAGGTGGCAGAGATGGTTTATGAGACAGTACCAGTGGATAACTATAAGGAATGTCTCTGGACACAGCAGGGCAGATGCAGATATAAGTATGCACAGTGATGGATAGTGGTTGTGATAGCAGGCAAAAGACCAGTCCAGGCCTAAGTTATATTAAATCCCAGCATTGAGAAATGAGTTGGATCTAACAATTTCATCCTTAGCCTTGGAGATCTTTGTGTTTGTTAGATGCTGGATGAGTAAGATTCAAGTGTACCTAAGAATGTTCTGGTAAATCATCCACTTCAGTAGAAGGCCACACAACTAACGATATTTACGCAGTGCAAATTTGTCTTAACAGTTTAAAAAAATAAAAGAAAAGTTGAGTAATTGGGGAAGGGAAGACAAGTATGAGGATGGGGTGTAGTGATGAAATACATTGTACAAAATTCTCAAAAAATTAATAAAAGATTAAAAATCTTCATAGGGAAGCAGGTGAACTTGCTCAGCAGGTGAATTCATTTACCATGGTTCCTACTTATTTGACTTTTATTTCTAAAGCCTACAAAGTAGAAGCAGGTAACTGTCTTCTAAAAATTGTCCTCAGACTATCACATGCCCAACGTGCCATGTATACAGCCAAACATGTACACGACATGCATGTGCACACATACAGAGAGAGAGAGAGAGAGAGAGAGAGGGAGAGGGGGGGAGGGGGAGGGAAAGGGAAGGCAAACAAGTAGGAACCATGGT